TGAGCACTGAAAACCGTATCATAATAAAATAGGGTGTACTGGCCAAACCCAGATTGCTATGCTGAATAGATACATTACTTCCCCATTATTATGTGTCAAAAATGGTATGTGATTGCCACAGCACCTTAGAAGGATTGATTCAGAATTTTTCTGTTTTATTGTCAGAGAGTCTAGGATCAACATGGCTCTTAGCATTGTTGTACTGCCACTCTGCAGAGGAAATTAATCATGGGACCTTTAAAAGAAAGCACTGGAGTAATTTGTTTTGGAACTGCAAATCTTAACAGTTAAAATTTCAGAAACTGAGTTCTCGTAACTTGGTGTCTGATCATATGAGTGTTGTACATATTTACTTGTATTTATAATTGCTTATACAGTACAGGTATTTTGTGTTTCTTGGAGGGAGGCATGGTATGATTTTTCTGTAGATGTGTTTGTCCAATAAGTTTGGTGTTAAGTAGACTTTAATAGCAAAACATTCGGGCATATCCAATCTGGCTCTAGTTTGACAACTTCTGCATTCTGCTCTTGTCATAATGTATATAAACTTGTGTGAGCCAAAATCCACTAGGTTCAGTCTGGGGAGGGGTAAGCATGCTTAAGGGCCTTTGAATTCAGGTCAGACATATGAGGGATTGCTTCTCGGTATGTTCATTTGCCTTAGTGCACCAGATGAGTATAGGTAGACAACAGCCTATAAACTTTTATTAAGATAAGTGTTTCTAATCTTGTGCTTATAGGACAACTATACTGTCCAGATGCATTGGGCCATACCATATACAATGTGCTTATTAGCTGGAGGTGACGTGATATGCAACCCAGCCTAACTAGAGGTCACTACACAGGCCCTCGTTCAGGCCAGAATCTGTTATATATTTTATGGCTATTAAAATCCATTCATTTTATCCAAGTGAAAGGTCTGTCAAATATAAGAACATAAGAAGAGCCCTGCTTGATCAGTCCCAGGGCCCATCTAGTCCAGCTCCCTGAATCTCACAGTGGCCGCACAAGATGCCTCTGGTACACAAGACAACTAGATACCTGTCTCCTGATACTACTCCTCTACAGCTGGCATTTGGAGGTACCTTCCTTTTAAGATTATACATCCCCATCATGGCTTGTAACCTGTGATTGGCTTTTCCTCCTGGAATCTGTCCAGTTCCCTTTTAAAGGCATCTAGGCCAGATGCCATCACCATTTCCTGTAGCAAGGAGTTCCACAGACGAACAACATGCTGGGTAAAAAAATATTTTCTTTTGTCTGTTCTCATTCTCCCAATACTCCATTAGAGTGGATGTCCTCTGGTTATACTATTGCATGAGAGGGAAAAGAGCTTCCCTCTATCCACTTTATCCATCCCCTGCATAATTTTATACGCCTCAATGACGTCCCCCCCTCAGGCGCCTTTTCTCAAGACTAAAGAGCCCAAAATGCTGTAGCCTTTCCTCATAAGGGAGAGGGCCCCAACCCAGTCATTTGAGTTGCCCTCTTGTGCACCTTTTCCAGTTCCACTATGTCTTTTTTGAGGTGCGGCAACCA